ATATATATATATATATATATATATATATATATATACACACACACAAAGTAACGTAAATAATGATAGCTGCAAGAAAGAAAGTCATATTTCATGTACAATTGTAAGTTGAAGGATGAACAAGTACTTCAGATGAAATTACAAAGTCTTGTGGCAGAAAGTCCTAGCATAAAATTACATTAATTAATTAATTACATTAAGAAAAATTGATCTTTAACTGGGATTTAGCTAAAAGAGCTTTGGCTCTTGGAACTAATACTCTAAAGCTTAAATCACATAAAAAGTGAAGCCCAGTCAGGATCACCAATAGCTCATCTTTGGTAAATGCAAAGAAAAAATTTTGTGTGACTCCATTAAGTAATGTTTTCAATTATATTTCATCTACCTTGCCTTTCTTAATCCAACTAGTGTCACATTCTTATAGCATGTCTATATAAAATTCTATACAGAACCAACTGTAATTGTTCATGTTTATATCTTAGTAGCAACCAGTTGTTTTTGTCAAACCAAGCATGAACAATTTCTTTGTATACACAAATTATGTGATGTCTGTACACATTCAGTTAGTTTGGCATTCATTTAGTTGATGTTTTAACACAACTTGTCTATGCACACTTAATAGGTATCTTTCTTTTAAGAATATTTGTACATATGTTAATATTCTATAGAAGTTAGTATTACTATTTTTAAAAACAACAGTTTTCATGTCTAACAGACCCAGAAGATGCTGCATACAGCACCAGGCCTGGTTCTGTAGTAAAAACCAAAGGAGCAGTTGCCATTTCATTCATGTTTTTTGGAACTTCTTTGTTGTTTATCAACTCCCATTTAACAGGTGTGTATAAACCAGCTTTTATATATATTTAGATATTTTTTATTGTCTGCAAAACAAATGCTGGACCTAAAAATAAATTCAGTTTCACCTCCCCCACCCCACCCCCCCAATAAAAAAAAAAGCAAAAATATTGTGGGGAGCTGTGTGGGCTCCAAATTTACTTGTTCTTAGACATCATTATCACTGGCCTACCAGTACCAAAGATTTGAAATTGTGGGTTAGATTATCTAGTTAGTATTTGTAAAAAAACTAAGTTTTAGTTTATAATTTTACAATAAAGAAGTGTTGATAGAGTTATTTTAATACACATTTATTGCTTGATAAAAACTGTCATTTATTACTTCTGCACCGGTCAAACACAAAACACTTTTGAAAAAACATTGAACTTTTTCATAATAAATAATGAGTGATAGTACATATTAGTACAATCTTTTCTCTGCTCTGCAAATATCATTACTATCTGGAGGTTCACTTGAGTGACAAAAGTGAGTTCTAAAAGCAAATATCAAGTGACCAATGACTCCAGAACATTTCATTAGCATGCTCAATAATTTGCTCTTATAGCTTTTTTTTAGTATTCATTTAGTATTACAACAGATTCTGTTTAGCTAAAGGACATTTCATGTTTAAAAGCGGAAATATGGTTTGATGTACAAAAAGTTGGATAAAATAGCATACAGTGTTGCAGGTCAACAGTCATATGTATTCTTTCACATAAACATAAGCAAACACTAATGAAAAGAAAAATACATTTCAATTTCTAAAAGAATAACAATTGATAGATAAATAACCATTAAATAAATATGTATATGCATGCACACAACTAAATGCATACCTTCATATATATATATTGTAATGAGTTTAGTTTCTCAAAGTTTGCAATAAAATACCTTATACAATGTCATACAGTTGTGGACTCGAGGCGTGTCAACTGTCTTGTTTCTCTGGGTTTAACTGACTGTTCTGGAGTGTGCATGTGCTGCCTGATCATCAGTTCATATGATTGATCAGAATTCCCCTCCTCACACTTGCTTGTATTAGGATGTAAGTTATTGCATTCAAATTGGATTATTTAGTTAAGATTTAACATTTTTGTTAACTTGAATATTATTATATTTCCTCTTTATATTGTTGGTTGTTTCTTAAATTTGCTAGTATATCTTATAAAACTTTACAGGTGAGAAAGTCTGTGTAAAAGTACTGTCAAAGAGGTCAGATTCAACTAATCTTCAACACCAATGATTATGTATTTATTCTGTATATAACAAGTTTTGATAGTTAAAAGCCTGGTTTAGTTCTTAAATTCTGGATGTGCTTACAACCTCCCTTAAAGATTAGTGGTATGGACACAGAGTAGTAGATATAATAATGAAATATGGAAATGCATGTAGGCTAGTCTTTTTTTTTCTGTATATTTCAGGTTAGTATTCATTGATAAGGAACACCTCTTTGTATTTTTGTAATTAACATGATAAATTAAAACCTGTTTTCTGTCACCTTCTCCACCAAACTTCTAGTTCATCCTAAATGTTTTACGAAGAATATAGGTTTTGTAAGTTTCAGTGAAACTTTGGTTATATAATCAAGTACAAACATGAAGGATATTAATTATAACCTAGAAATTGTCAGTTATATATTAGCCATAAGCACTCATGATGGTTCAGAGTAAATAGAAAAAGCTGTTTTAATGTATGGATTTTCATGAATTCTACATGACAACTCTTTTACAAGGCATGATGCAAGCCCAGTAAGCAAAGAGAATGTGCAGACTAAACATAACATTTTCAGAGTTAGTAAAGCCAGGTATGAGGTAAATTATTAGAAAATGTTCACGGTTCAAAGAGATAATCAATCAGCTACATGCATCTAGCTCCTACAGCAGAAAAATCTTCGGTATGACTGCCATTAAGCAGGTTTACCATATTATGTTTGAACTTGTTCAGCGACTGCATAAAGTTTAACATTGTGCAACAAAAAATTTCATTTGAAATATATTAATAACACTTTTATATTTAAGTTGCAAAAAGTTGCATGTTAGTAAAAATTAAAAGAATTAGATATAAATAATGAAGACATTTTGCCACAAGAATTTGGATATAATCCCTGCACTGAGGCAGTGCTACTACAATAGTACACTTTTAACTATGCCACAAGAATTTTGGATGTAATCCCAGTACTGAGGCAGACTTTTAGTCTGAGGGAAAAGTAAAGTAGGGAAAATATCAATGAAAAAAAAAACTATTGCTGTGGATTGGATGCAAGTCAAATATAGTATTTTCAAGTGAATTTTCTTAGTGTACACTATTTGATGGTATAATATTTGTTTGTTTTTGTTATAGCACATGAAAAGAAATTGAAAGAGAGACTGTCCGACTATGAAAAACTTTGTGTTATGTTAGACCTTCCAAAAAATCTACATGTAAAACCCCAGTGTCAGAGTAAAGGTCAGTAAAATATTTGGATGCAACATAAATTTATCAAAGTAAGTATTAAGGTTAATGAATTCTAAAGCATAAGTAAGGAAGAATTAACACTTGTTAGTTATTATTTTTTTTTGGTAGTAGTTGAGCTGACTTGTCAGTCTAGTATCATATCAGTAACATTCAGAACAATACCATTTATTGTAAGTTGAAAAACTTAGCGTAAATTTATGATATTTCATAAATATCTTGTTCGTGTAATGAGTTTTTATTAACATGTATATATATATATATATACACAAGTTTTTTAGCTAGGCTGGATGATAGTTAACAAGATTTTTAATATCTGTTGAAATGCAGCTGTTATATATGTCAATTTATGTACTTTTTTTTTAAATTTTAATTGTGTTTTAGGCTGAAACAGAATATTCTGTGTACATTAATGTATCTCTTATCAACAATATGTATTCAGAATGTTTTAGTAGCAGTAAATCAAGTGTGAATAATATTATGTAAAAAAAACAGGTATTATTGTTTTTAACTAATGTAAAAAGTTTATTCTGGCTAGATTTTTATTTGTATTTTGACATGAAATAGTTGTAAGTGATTAGACTTGTCTTAAAGTGCAATTTTCTAACTTTAATCAAGATACTCTTTATTTGAAAACAAAACAGATGTCACAGCAAGATTTGATAATGTTTTCTGGTGTGGTGATCTAAATTTCCGATTGACTCAGAAACGAGATGTTATTATAAAATTATTAGAGAACCGGAACCTTCAGAATGTACTATCCTGTGAAACGTTATTGAAATATGATCAGCTGCAAAAAGCTATGAATGAAGGTATGATTTTATGTGTTTAATTTACTCACATAAACACATATATATATGTGTTTACTCAACAATAATTGTGCTGTTAAAATGCCTCTTTTATTTTTGATATGAAAATATATTAGTAATAAATTTCAGTTTGCGAATGAGAACTTTTTGGGCAACACTTAAAATGTTTATTTGTAACATTAATGGTATATAATTGAAACAATGATCTTTTGTCCACTAGGAATCCATGAATTGCACCTAGAGTTCTTGAGCTAAAGGACTTACGAAGTTAAATGTAGATCTTATAGAGAAGTACAATAATATATTCCATGGTTTCTGTCTTATTTAGAAAGTATGTGAGGATTTAACTGCAAATTCTATATTGCACGTTTCAGGTCCTGTCAACATACAAGATTAGTAGTGTCTCTGCATACAACATAAAGAAGCAAAAGCTGACCACATACATGAATAAATGTATCAGTACATGTACGCTTTAAACATGAATTTTTTTATCAAATAGTGAACATTTCTAAATGTTTCATTTGGTTTGTATGTATACTCCAAAAATGAATATGAATGTACCAGTTGGAACATGGATTTAATAGACAAGATTCATTTTCACAAATGAAAGCAAACACCTTATCTTTTATTTCATAAAATTGGTTTTGCATTGTAGGTGTTGCCTTCAGAGACTTTCATGAAGCTACAGTCACATTTGTTCCTTCTTACAAATACAACACTGGATCTTGTCTCTTTGACTCAAAGAAACTACGTGTACCTTCCTATACTGTAAGTTATTTAATCAATGTGTAATATGTTTAGTATATTATTATGTATTTGGACTTGTCTTAGACAGTAAGTAGAAACTGATTTTGAATAATCATCATGGTGTATCAATGTCTTGAGATATTGTACGTTCTTTCAGATATGAATTAATAGTTATGCAAGGGTTTTTTTTAGATATTAAGTTTATATAAAACTTGTAAGTATGTCCAGATAACTGAAATTATATATAGGTATTTTGTATGTGTCAAAGTTAATTGCTTATGAATTGAACATTACATATTTATATAGTTTAATATTTTCAACAGCTTTATGTTATGTTTAGCATAATCTCTTGTTTATTAATGGTGAGATATGGGTTTATCACTTAATCAGCTTAAAATTAATCCATTCAATAACAAAAATTATTTCTGATATGATACTTACCTCTACTCACAAGATTAGCTATTCTCATTCTGTGCTGCCCTGTATATGTGAAATTTTTTTTTATGCTTGCCACAATTCTTGCACTCCCCCCTTGTTGGAATTAGTACATTCCAACATGTCTTCTGGGCAAATTATCATACGTCATCTATTAACTCTTTCAACACGGGCTCAGTCCCTGGGACCGAGTCACGTGACCTTCTGTACTCGTTTAAAGTTGACATAAGTTTAATATTTATAACTCTCTATATATTGGGTATATCTTAACTAAATTTGGCAGTCTTTCAGCTAATATTACAAGTTTT